AAAATTAACAAGTAAGCTACATTGCAGGTAAAGTACGAAGTGGAAAGACTTTTACCCCTATCAACATGTAAGAATTTGTATATGGACCCTCTCTTTCTGACTCCCATCATTCCCTTTTTACAGCGTACGTTCGTGATGCTGCTCGAAGAATATATATATATTCATGCACTTCGGTACATTCAATAGACTTTGTTATGTGATTAAAAAAGCATTAATTACACAATGCGTGTTTGGTGATGCTTCTGTCGCATTTAAGACATTTTAGGGTTGTTATGGACTATGGTTCTGATAGAAACATGAGCCAGTGAATTTATATCCACAATGTGGGTGGTACTTTACGTTCTCTCTCAGAATTAGTAGAATGTGTAGAAGTTGACTGTCCCAAATGTCTATTGATTCCCATTTTAGGGAAAATCTTTTTTTAACCCAAAGTTTTACTTCAACTTATTTTTAAACCCATCTTCTTTCATTATGATCCATACACCCAAAATACAACACTCATTTATTTATAAACCCAAAGTATCACTTATTTATAAACCCAAAGTATCAAATACACCATATTTCTAGTGCTCCTCCCACTCAAAAAAACCCTAAAACACTCAAAAACACTCGACTACTGACGCATCGTGTTTATTGGCCGATTAGACTACTGACGCATCGTGTTTATTGGCGGATTATCCATCGTGTCGGGCTGTCCTCGTTGAATTTCGAAGCTTCAGGCAAAGTATAGCACTTTACGGGAAAGTATAGCACCTTATGGCCAAAGTATAGCACCTTATGGCAAAGTATAGCACCTTATGGGCAAAGTATAGCACCTTAAAATCAAAGTATAGCACCTTATGCTCTCTAAAAATTTTGCACATCAAGTTGTCGAGAACCATTTTAGTTTTTTTCCCCGCAACGAAAACATTCGACGATCGACGCATCGTATTTATTGGCCAATCATCTACCGCGTCGGGCGGTCCTCGCTGAATTTCGAAACTTCAGGCAAAGTATAGCACTTTATGGGGAAATATAGCACCTTATGACCAAAGTATAGCACATTATGGCAAAATATAGCACCTTATGGCAAAATATAGCACCTTATAGGCAAAGTATAGCACCTTATACCCAAAGTATAGCACCTTATCTCTCAGGCGGTCCTCGCTAAATTTCAAAGCTGCAGAATTTCCAGAGAGCATAAGGTGCTATACTTTGGGCATAAGGTGCTATACTTTTCCTATAAGGTGCTATACTTTGTCATAAGGTGCTATACTTTGGCCATAAAGTGCTATACTTTCCCGTAAAGTGCTATACTTTGCTTGAAGCTTCGAAATTCAGCGAGGACCGCCCCGACGCGGTAGATGATTAGCCAATAAATACGATGCGTCGATCGTCGAATGTTTTCGTTGCGGGAAAAAAAAACTAAAATGGTTCTCGACAACTTGATGTGCAGAATTTTTAGAGAGCATAAGGTGCTATACTTTGACCTTAAGGTGCTATACTTTGTCCATAAGGTGCTATACTTTATCATAAGGTGCTATACTTTGGCCATAAGGTGCTATACTTTCCCGTAAAGTGCTATACTTTGCATGAAGCTTCGAAATTCAACGAGGACGGCCCGACGCGGTGGATAATCGGCCAATAAACACGATGCGTCAGTAGTCGAGTGTTTTTGAGTGTTTTAGGGTTTTTTTGAGTGGGAGGAGCACCAGAAATATGGTGTATTTGATACTTTGGGTTTATAAATAAGTGATACTTTGGGTTTATAAATAAGTGGGTGTTGTATTTTGGGTATATGGATCATAATGAAAGAAGATGGGTTTAAAAATAAGTTGGAGTAAAACTTTGGGTTAAAAGAAGATTTTCCCTTTTAATTATATATCATATAGTCTCGATGAACCCTATGTTAGCCAACTTACAATACAATTTAGGAAGAGACAATTATCATTTATCCTAGTTGATATACATGTTATGATGGAAATCAATAAATCTTAATATTAAATGGTAACCATGTAAAAAATTTGAATTTTGAATTTTAGCAAGTTATTTTTGACAGATTGGATGATTGTTTGCATTGACGTTGAGGTTAAGGTTGTCATAAATTTATATTGACAAATTGTGACTTATCAAGTGATAAATGGAATTATATTAGCATTAGGTGATGACAACAGCATGTTGGGTGTTTAAGCATGAATAATCTTAATTGATTGCATTCCTAAATGTGTTACTCTTGGAACAATTATTACCAATATTAGTTTATTATTATTGCTACTTCAATAAATTATACATTTACTATGGCAATCTTATGAAAGATTAGAACTAATGTAGTTCACGAATGTGTACTTAAGTTGAATAAAAATACTAATTATTATATTTTACTGTGTATATTCCGCTTTAATATATACCCATGCCAAGATTATATGTATTAGTATATTCATGGTTCTAGTATTAATTTTACTTATAATGTCTTATAATATTTTTTTTTGTTGGAGCACGTTGTCTGATTATGTTACCCATGCAATGCACAGTTATAATGTTACAATATTGTCACATTAAGAGTTGAAATATTATAATTTGACAAATATTTTTCCCATTTTATTCTTTTCCAATATTCCTATAGCAACTCGTTATTGCAGTATATTTGCTATTTAAGGGTTTTCATATGCTTTACCAATGTTACAGAAAGTGCTAGCAAACTAGGTGTTTGAACCAAGGCCTAGTGTCTAGGTAACCCCTAGGCCTTTGCCTATTTTAATTATTTAATTAAAATAATTAAAAATGAATTAAATAAAAATAAATAGCAATAAAAAATCGAAAAGATGGCTTGAAGAGAAAGATGAGGTGGTTGAGGCGGTGATCGGAGGGCTCTGAGTTAAAGGAGGTGGCAGGTCTGGCAGTGTTGAAGGTGGGAGAGGAGCGTCGAGCGTAGAGGATCCACCGAAGGAGGTCAGTCGAGAAGAGCTCGAAAGAACTCAAAGAATAGAGAAAGAGGAGGCAACGGTGACGATCAGAGAAGAGGTGGAGGTGGTGATGATTGGCGAAGAGGCGGCGGTGATGATCAAAGAAGAGGAGGCGACAGTGATTTAGGGTTTTGGTTTGGGGAAAATATCGAAGGAAAAGAGAAAGAGAAAAAGATCAACCAATAGAGTTCTGATTTGGGTTGTAAACAGGTCGAGTTTGGGTTTATGGATCGCGTTTTTGCTTAAAACCTTTTTTTTAATTTGAATGAAGTGCGTTGGGTTAGGCCAGTTAAGACTTAATTTTTTAAAAAAAAATTGCTTCAAAATCTAGGTGACCCGCCTAAGCGGGCCGCTCAACCCTAAGTGGCGCCTAGCTTAGCTGCTCATGCCAAAACTAGGCGGTTGGAGGGCCAGCTACGCACTTTTTAAAACAGTATACTTAGTTTTATGATTCATTGATTCTTTTATCTTCTGCTTATAAACTGTAGTCTTTGAGAGTGGTTATTTTGCTAAAGACCAACTATTATGCGCTCGTATATTATTTTCAGGATTGTGATTTCTTTTTTACATAAAATTTTATAAATTTGTGGTGCATGTTCATATTGAAAAAAATTACAAGCTCAATGTAACAATTCTGCACATCGCATGAGCGCATGAGCCTGAAACTAGTCTACAACAATAATGGCAACAAATTCCAGCTCATAGTTGCGATCTTCAAGGATCTATTATAGCAGCAGGAAATCATGATTGGAGTGAATCAAATTTTGTCACAGTAGATGGAGATCATGATTGGAGTGAATTAAATTCGATTAATATAGATAACTAAGCAGATGCAACTGCTTTTTTATTCTTAGTGGATGCTAAGAATCAATACGGAATCTCATTCTTAATACGGACAGTAAAAAGGGGCTCAAGATCTGTGTTGTGCCTATGCACACTGTTATTAATGCGCAAGGTGCAATGAGGAGCAACAAAGTCTCTTTACGCGCATGTACGCAAGGCGCAATGCGATGTGCGCGGCCCAGTGAAGTGAGGCGCAAATTGCACACATACTTTTTCAAGATAAGTAATGAAGCACAAAAGAACATGCTTATATATATTCACATAAAAAGTATGTCATGATAGATAATATCTACTACTAAATCACTAAATAAGGTCTAAATTCATAATGCTAACACACAACATAGTAGCCTAGCTCGAACTTTTCCAAATCAAAAGGCAAATCAAGACTAATATCGAAATGAAATCAAATAATAAATGAGGTATACTTTTTTCTCTTGGAATATGGATTATCAAATATAAAGACGCGATTGAAATGTTAAAGAACAAAAACATACAAGGCTATACCTTGCATGCGCCCTACGCAAAGTGCAGATTGCTTGCGAGGCATAAAAGATGTTGCCGCACTGTTGCGGGCGCTTTTTCATTGCCCTGCATCGTAGGACACATGAGGCGCAGTGAGACAAGCACCTTTGATAACAGTGCCTATGCCTTGCTTTGGGTTCGTCCATCATCCACGTATTTCATTTATGGAACAATGTCCAGTAACCTCCATCTTTAGAGATCATAAGGGTTTGGAATCCTATTCTTTTTTAAGGAAATATGGAAATAGATATGTGCATCCAGATTCAAGGGATCATAATTTAGGTTAATCTTGTAATCTTTCAAGCGTGAGCACACAAAGTTATTCTCTGTTGTTATTCTTGAGGAACGAAATTTCTATGTTTGACAAGATTATATATGACTTTACATTAGAGTGCTGATCAAGAAACCTGAAAGAATCAGCATCCTCGCTTAGAATTAAGTAGCTGTCCCATATTTTCTTTCTTCGGGTTTCATTTTAAGTTTCCTATCATACCACGTAGCACTTTATAGGGTGTCCATGTCATGAGATCAGGCTCTACAACCCCCTCATATTTTGTAAATTCTTCCATTAACTGACAAATCATCAAAGACCAACTCGAGTCCTAAAAATTCTAGCCGTGAAGAAAGGAAAATAGACTCAAGAGCTCTTGAACGCACAATCAATTCTAAGTATCAGCAAGAAGGCAAGCTTACCACTGCAACTGCACCAGTATACTCCTTGGGAATAATCATCTTTAAGATAAATGGCCAGAGGATATGCTGTAAGAAGATTGAAGGATTAAAAGACCAGCTGGAAGAGTCTAGAATCTAACTTAAAGACAGGCCATCAATAACAAATACAGTTAAAATATTAAAATTTCTGATGTGTTAATGACAACAAAACTTCAGCATAAAATTAGGCTAAATAGTACTTAGATACCTTATAGTTTCACTCCTTTAGCACTTACATACCCTTAGTTGGTCAAAATTGCATGTTAACACCCTACGTTTTGCAAACGTAAAAATTTTCATTTGAAAGTTATCATATAACATTCATACATTAATTTTAGAGCTTTTTAACCATTAATATTGTTAAATTACTATTAACTACCCAAATTCTGATTTAGGTGTATCATAATTCTATTTCAAAAATAAAATTTGGAAAGACTTAACAATGAATTCAACAAACTTAATAGATAGAAAGTTATAATATTAGCATATAAAGGTTATACAAAACTTTGAAAGAATAATCTTTATGTTTGCAAAACATAGGGTATTAAGATGACAATTTTGACCAACATAGGGTATATAAATGCTACGAAATACACGGATGGTAAATAAGTGCCAAGGTAGTGAAACTATAAGTTTTTAAGTGCCATTTAGCTTGAAAATTATCACCTTTAAAAAAAATTTCTCAACCAATTGATGATGTCTGTACCTCCATTTCAGGGATTGTAATAGCCAATAAAAGTAGTCCTTTATCACAGATTGCCCTCAACTCTTCAAGAGAAACTGGCCCTAGCATCACCTGATGAGAAAATGCACTCCGTATAGTATATTTTAGCGAAGTAACCAGTCTGCTAGAATTATACAAAATGACAAAAACAATCAAGTACCTCTTTCTTAAATTGAGGCCCACTTTTCCTCATAAATTCCTTTGATGTCTTGAAACCTTTCACTTCATTGTCAGATATGGCAGAATGACGCACAAAAAATTCAACAAACAACTCTGCTGAAGGGCCAGTGAAGTAACAATGTGAAGCCATAACAACAAGTAACTGTAACAGAAATATCACTAGCATCAATAGAGTGATTGAATATAACTTTATATATATATATATATGATTGTGCATGTGTGCGAAAAATGAGTAAACTTGGTACCAAGCACAAAGTTGATGCACGGTAATGACGAGGATGCTTCTCATCCACACAAAGAAAGGTATTCATTTAAAAATGATCCCCACTTGAATACTTACCCATTAAAAGAGTGGATTACTTACTCATTAAATGAGCGGATGAGAAGTGGTCATACCACTACCAAGCACCAAATTTGATGCTTAATACCGTGTGTGCGCATGCCTGCGTGCATGTGCGCGTGTCTGTGTGTCTATATATATATATATATATATATATTATAGTATAATATATATAATATATATATTATATATATATATATATATATTATATATATATATATATATATATAATATACTGTACGAAGAGAGAGAGGGAGATATGAGAGCTTGGTACAGAGTTTTTCATTGACTTATGTAGTGAAGGTGGCTAACTCACCTACTCATGCCTGCGAAGATGGAGCTCTTTTAATGGAGTAGGTAATAGTAGATTGAGTCTCTCTTCGAGGACATGATAGTAGGGGATGAGATTTTGCCATCACTACAAGTTCAATGAAGAAAACTTGTATAGGTTCGTATCATAATTTTGATATAATATTATATATATATATTATATATATATATTAATATATATATTATTTATATTATAATATATGTATATATATATGAGAAATATAGAGAAACTTGGTACCAAGTTTCTCTATTGAACTTGGTAGTGAGGTGACCAAATCTCCATCCTACATCACACCTTGAAGAGAGAGACTCAATCACTATTCACCTACTTATAAAAAGAGGCTCCATTTTCAAGGTGTGATGTAGGGGGGTGATTTGGCCACCTCACTACCAAGTTCAATGCAAGAACTTGGTACCAAGTTTTTCCATATTTCTCATATATATATATATATATATAACAAGGGTCACCTCCGCAAGTGCCTTCCGAATACCCAAGCTCTGCTCGTCTAACAGAGACTGCACAACTTCAACAAGTAGCATCCTTTTGCCATGCCAGGCTTCCAATAACCTTGAAGTATAAAGCATTAAGGTTTAGGATTAAAACTGCCAGCAGCACGGGTGAGATTAGGGTTAAGTTAGAACCTAGGAAGCAGATGCTTTAAGATGCATAATGCTCCAATGATTGAAGGCTCGTCTTTTGTCTGGCACCTCTGCACATAGAACACCAAATAAGAGATGAATTCGCTTAAACCCATGCTCTTCCCAGTGTTTGAAAATACAAGATGATGTGGAAGTGTACATTCACAAAACAATAGATATTTATGGATCTGATATCATGTAAAATAATAATTAACATATAAAAATTGTGAAATAACTCACATTCAGAAGGAAGACATAGAGATCTTCAGGGTATACTGAACCAATTACCAAACAGCAATGTTGGATTTCATTATAAGTCTGTAAAGGAAAGAATAAAAATTTATAAACGTAACAAATACGATAAAATCTACTGGATACCTTCATGCTCAAAAATCAAAGAACACTACAAAGCCTTAAAAGTTAAAACTTGCCCCAACTAGCCTGCCTGCTAAACCGCAATGCAGAAATAGTGGTAGAGAAGAGTATTAGTACGGAATCCATGTCACATACTATACAGACCAGAAGCTATCAGCAGAAGATGTGAATATCTAAAGCTGAAAATAAACTCGCTAAAGGGGGCTGAAAAATATCACTTGGTTGACTTCTAAGAAAAACTAACACACTCAGTGCAATAAATGACAAAACTTGCGACACAGACAGACTAAAAAATCCTGGCATCACAAAGATACAAGAAATGAAGCAAGTCAGAAAAGTCTAGGCAAATAACTCCCATCCTAGATGTTACATGACTCTCCTATGTAAAATCTCTGTAACAAACTTGATTGAGATCTAAATTTGGAATGCAGGTGGAGGATTCTAAATCAGGAGTATGGCATATGTGAGAATAGGAAAATAATAAACAATACTCCAAAAATATGGCACTTCCAGTTAACAAACTGCACATAGGTTAAAAAACATATGATTCCATGTATAGATATAAGATTCCTCAGCTACTTCTGATTTTACTAATTTTAACATCATAGAAATGAACTGGCTGGTGCAAGTCCGAAACCACGTTTCATCCATAGTAATCAAGTCACTATCTAATCCCTCATTAGTCATGGACTTGCTGTGCCCCTATCATTCAGAGAACTTTCATGTTCTTGCCAGGAAATTCAAGAGGGAAGCTCCTCAAGCACTTCCATAGCACACTAACTCCCCTTCATCCAAGGCACCTACATATGCTTACCATACTAATTAATGAATATATGAAGAGAATGATAAACATCAAAGATCTTCAATGGACATTTTATTAATATATAATTATAAATCTGTCCTTATTTGAGAAATTGCAAATCAGGTAATTAATGTACCCAGAAACAAACGTGAAATTCAACAATGACTAACTAATAGAAAGCTTGTAAACGGAAAATTACTTGGTATTTAATAGGCACCTTTAGGCCAATTGAGAAATCTGAATGATCATTGTTACTGTTAGTAATGAATGCCACTGGGAGTAGAGCACTTAAAGTGCTTGTGAGTTCCTGTGAATAAGAAAATTAAGCACTTTTTGTTCTCAAATGTCCATAAACAACTAAAAACACAAAAGTATATGAATCATTCTATGAATACTGTAACATCAATACTCAACATCATTTGACTAGCATACAACATTGCCATTTTCATAAAATGATTAAATTGTGAATTGAAAAGCAGCAAAGGTAGAACACTAGCAACTAAACAAGTGACAAAGTCAGATGTTCGAATGAAGATATTTATCTAGTGATTATCAGGGATATGCATGGGATATGATGCATATATTAGTCATACAACTACTTAATTGAACTTCTGTTGAAAGGGAGAGGTAATAAAATACATTTATAAAATAAAAATTACAAAAACATTTATAAATAATACATATGAATGCGTGTTTACGATCAGAATGAATAGCTTATATGACCTTACACCACTCTCATGGTAAGTACCAAAGGATCACCCTATGAACACTTTTCACCTGAAACATTATTGTATGAGAATATGTTTGGTGTGTTTGCTCATAAGCGTGAATGAATGAGCATGTATGTGTATCTTTCACATCAATTGCACATATAATTGAGGTGGGTAGGACTACAGATGCATGCATGCACACATGGAAGGTACACATACATACGCACACACAAATGTGACCGCCGGAAGCAGGGGGTAGGGGGGAGACAAGCAACATTGAGTTGCAGGCAAATATATAGTTGTTTGGCTATCCCTTTACGCATGCTAACTAGAGTAGAAACGTAGAGTTAGCACCAGAAATAAGTTACATTAGGCTCTGAGACTTTCTTTAACAAATGCTGAAGTTTGCATTAACTTTTAACAAAACAACATGTATAATACAATAGCTGATGTAAGAAACATGTGGTATTTGATGTAGAGTGACTTAAGTTATCTACAAAGATCTTATAGTGCATGGAGTAACATTTAATCTATTTCTGCCTTATTCACAGACGTGAGGCAAAGATCTTATATTGCATGGAGTAACATTTAATCTATTTCTGCCTTATTCACAGACATGACGCAAAGATCTTATGTTGCATGGAGTAACATTTAATCTATTTCTGCCTTATTCACAGACAAGGGGCAATGTGATGTAAATTGATGCATTGCATGAATATAGCTTTACAAGATGCCGCAGTGATCAGGTGATTGAGAATCTGAGATAATATGTCAGCTTGCATGTTTGACCAAATCATGTAAAATGTGTATGTTATTTGCGTTAACCTGAAAGGTGTTGCTTGTCGAGTGTCCCATGTGTGATTAATGAAACGTTTTTTTGCCATTGCAAATGCCATTTACTTTATCTTGATAGTGCTGCTTGTTGTTTGACTGCTGGTTTACTTGAGAAGATCAATGCTAGCAGTTCAAATTAAACTCTTCTGTTTGTTAACTGCCCGCTAGGATGGGTCAACCATCACGCCAACAAATGGAGGATAATGTATGAAGCCTTTTTCTCCATCAAGTATTGCTTCTCTAAAGTTCCCATTGTAAACTGAGTTCCCTTGTCTGGGATGAACTTTCCATATGAAAAGAGGTAAAGAATCCTATATTTCCTAGAACCACCTAAGACAACTACCTAACTGATTAGGACTTTTCATCACATCGGGCCCGGTGCTGACTGAGGAACTTTTCAAAATGTATAAACTTATACATCTGATGTTGCACAGAACAATAAATGCAACAAGATGTCTTGCATATTACTTGACCTCCTTCCGGGACTAAATCCTGAGTGGGAGCCCTTCTACAATTATTCAATTACTATCAGAGGATTTCTAATTGACTTAGATCTAATCAACTAGTATTAGTCCTGTTTTGAATTCGAAGTATTGACTGATATCGAATAAAATCAGACATATACCAGTCAAAACATCAAAATATCGACAGAGATAGAACAAACAAAAGTTAATACATACATAGGAGGTTGGAGTAGTCAGCAGAAAGGTAGGATGCGCTGGCCCAAAATTCAAGATGGTCTACAAGTATCAAGACAGGAAGCAATATGCTATACTTACCAACAATATCATAAACTATAACCTTCTCCCATCAAAATGGACCATTCTGGAGCATACGACTAATATGCTATACTTACCAACAATACCATAAACTAAAATCTTTTCCCATCAAAATTGACCATTCTGGAGCATAAGACCAAGTACAACAGAATCAACTAAGTTTAACTGGCAGGACATGAACCTGGAATCAGTTCTATGGGTTTGGTTCGTTGTCTTACAAAAGTTAGTAAGAGGCTTTCCTACAGTCTAAGGCCAATAAGATGGTGGGAGCACCATCCATTTTCATTTTGGAAGAAGAGGAAGGCCAATCTAATTTGGCACTCAATTTAGGCCATGCAACCAAAGAACAACCTTCAAAGTTCAATAGGCTAAGAAAGACCAATGCAAAAGAGAATAAAAAAGGATTCTTATACAAATTCAGCTCTTATGCATGGTAGACAAGAGTATGGTAATCAGGAAACATAGAACTTTTTTTTGGAGGGTTAAGGCAGCATTAGTGAATTAAATAATAAAGTTTAGAAATCGAACTAGATAGCTTAGTAGTATTGTATTCAAGTGACGAGTAATTCCTTGACATTCGGGTAATTACCATAAATTTCTTATCAACCAAATAAGTTAAATGATCATGCATATCCACGTTACAGGACTCCCAATACAAAAGCAAACCTGACGATTGTAGCTCATTCCAACCATTGCATAACATTTAACATTAAACATGCAAAGGATGATTTCAGAAATGAATCTGAGAATGCAAGAGGAGAAGAATAACCTTCACTTCTTCCACGAAAATAAATGATTGATATGTTAATGATACAGATAGGAGCATATACCGTCGATGGACTTTGGTACAGCTAAGATGTGAATAAATAATCCAGAACTACCTCAAAATCAAGTAAAGGAGGCCCACTTTCTGATAATAAACAGGCGGTTAGAAGGTTATGCAGACTTTGAGTGGCTAGATAAGCACATTCTTGATCTCTTTTATAGCTGAAGAAAGAAAAACAAAATAAAAAAACAATTATTCAAATCAAAATAACTTCATAACTGATTAACAAAGGATTAGTTAAATATTTTCATCAAGGGCATAAAAAAGCATGCTTACAGGTCCAGTATAGTTGGAATAAGCCTCGGCAATGCCGCCTTTAACTGTGAGCGGGTGATAAGACCAACCATTTGTCCCATTGCCTCAACAGAAGAGAGTCGTACCTGTTTCAAGCATAAGTTCAATAAGAAGTTAAATGGTGTCAACAAATTATATGAAGTGTCACTCCTCTACGCTCCAGAATGCAAATCATTAAGAAACTGGAACTTCTAGTGTCTTAGTACAAAGTATAATAGCATTTGGCTGCAATACTTAAAGCACAAAACAGTTGTCTGCGCAAATAGTAGAAATGGTCGAAAATTTTGACCACAAAAAGCATTCAGAAAGAATTTGAAGCAACCACACATTCAGCGCTCAAACTTCAAAATAGCAAAGAAAAGATCATCCCTACACTTACACCCTTGCAAACCAGTTCCTGCTGGATTGTAAATACTGAACATCCCATGTCATAGATCTAAATAATTCATTACTTAAAATATAACTCAAATATGCGTTAAAAGGCATCAACCAGAATGCATTCATTAAGAAGCTGGAAAAGATAGCAACTTAGTACAAAGTATAATAGCATGTAAGGGTCCCCAAAAAGTTATCCAAACAAACGAGAAGGTCCAAATTTTTAATATGGGAAGAATTCCTTGTAGGAAGTGCAATGCAAAGGTCCCATCTCAAGAAGCAAGAAAGATCTTTGTACACTTCAAAACTGTGATGCCCTCAAACTTAGTCCCACATCAACTAATCAGTGGGTATTTGAAGTGCTTATATAATGAAGTCATGGGCTCAAGTGTGGCATCAGCTAGTCAATTCTGACAATGATTTTAGCCAAATAGCGCATTACACTCGGTCGGTCTCACGGCTTACATTACGCGAACGGGACTCGCGAATTAGGGGCGTGACAAATGGTACATGTTAAAGTTTGGAGAGAAAAGAGATTATTGGAGAGTTATCCTCTCACTCTATACTTTATTTATAGAGATGGATTAGTTACAAGTTAGTCTCACAAAGTCATCCACATAGATAACAAGTAGAATTTGTTTCCCATTCTGAAATCACAAAGTGATCTTTCTGTGCACGACAGAACTCAAATTCCTGAATAACCGATGCAAAACGTCCAAACCAGGCTCTCGGAGATTGTTTCAGATCATAAAGTGATTTCTTCAGCCTACACACCTTCGCATTTTCCCTCTGAGCAACAAAACATGGTGATTGCTCCATGTAAACCTCCTCATCTAGAATACCATTAAGAAATACATTCTTGATGTCCAACTAATGAAGTGGCCAGTGATTTGCCACTGCTAATGAGATAAAAATCCGAACAGATGTTATTTTTGCTACTGGAGAGAATGTATCTAAGTAATCTAAGTCATACACCTGCGAATATCCTTTAGCAACCAGTCGGGCTTTTAGGCATGCCAAAGTTCCATTAGGATTCAATTTGACAGTGTACACCCACTTGCAGCTGACAGGTCGCTTTCCTGATTGAAGTGGGACCAAATCTCAAGTCTCCTTCTGTCGCAAGGCCCTTATTTCGTCTTGCATCGCTTGATTCCAACCTGGAATAGACAGGGCTTGTAACACATTCTTGAAAACCAAATATGAGTCGATGGAAATAACAAAAGATTGAAAGGTGGAGAGGTGATCATAAGAGACAAAGTTAGAAATAGGATGTTGAGTACAAGTTCGTGTCCCTTTTCGAAGTGCAATAGGAAGATCTTCCGCGGAAGAGGGTAAATTTGCACTTACTGAATCTGATTCTTCTGACGGAGGACATAGTGTTGAGGCCGACGTTGGCTTAAGAGCAGGAGCAGAGCAACGAAAATAAACTTGAATTGGATCGTTAAACCGAGCGAAATCTTTGCCAGTAGCGCAAATAGTATTATCAGTGGATGAACCACCACCGTTAACAAAAAAACCAATAACTCTTGTAGGATTAAATAGTCATACTCATCCGATGATAATGGAGTTAGAGAACTAGAATAACCAGGTTTGTCTTCAAGGAATATTACATCAGCAGATAACACAAGACGATTGAGTGATGGACAGAAACACTTGTAACCTTTATATTTTCGGGACTAGCCAAGAAAAATACCTTTAATAGACCGAAAGTCAAACTTTTATTTGTTTGGACTGTGATTATGAACAAAGCACAGAGAGGTAAAAATCTTTGGAGGAAGCGAAAAGAGATCATCGTTGGGGCATAAAACTTTAAAAAGAATTTTATCTTGCAGAACAGAAGAGGGTATTTGATTAATCAAGTAATATGCTATTAGGATAGCTTCCCCCAAAACTCTTTGAGAACGTGACGATGAAATAGCAATGTTCGAGCAATATCAAGGAGATGTTTATTCTTTCGTTCAGCAACTCTACTTTGTTGAGGAGTGTAAACACAAGAAGACTGATGGAGAATTCCATGTTGTTTAAGGAAACTAGTGAAGTTGTCATCCAAATATTCCTTTGCATTATCAGATCGAAAAAAATTTATCAAAGTCTTGAATTGATTGACTATTTCAGAATAAAAGAGTTTAAATGTAGAAAAGACTTCAGACCTAGACTTGAGAAGATAAATTCAAGTAACACGAGAGTGATCATCCACAAAACTGATAAAATACAGGAACCCAATTTAGAAGTTATTGGGCATGGCCCCCAGACATCAGAATGAACAAGATTAAATGGCTTTACAACCCTCTTATTGACTCGATTAGAATAAGATACATGATGGTGTTTGCCAAGTTGACACGACTCACACTCTAAAGAGGAAAGAGATTTAAACTGAGGATTTAGAAGCTTGAGAATAGAGAGAGAGGATGCCCTATCTGACAATGGTATTGTAGAGCTGATGAGTTTCCAATACAAGCTAAATGTTTGGCGCTCAAGTCTAGTTTATAATGATCGTTCTGCTCATGCCCTGTCTCAATCGTTTCCTCGTTGGCGTCTAATTCCACTTTATAAAGATCGTTCTGCTCATGTCCCGTCCCAATCGTTTTCCTCGTGACCAGGTCCTGAAAGACACAATGTGTGGGGAAGAATGTCACAGTACAGTTTAGTAATTTAGTAATCTTACTAATAGATAAAAGGTTATAGAAAAAACTAAGAAGATAGAATACGAAGGAAAGGGAGAGACTATGTGTAAGATTGGTGTTGCCGATACCCTGAACAGGTGTACGTGAACCATCAGCTAATATAACTGAATTAGATGTAGGAGAGAAAGAGGACAGGATACCTTGATTTCCAGTCATATAATCAGTGGCACTTGTATATATAATCCAAGTATGAGACGAAGACGATGTAAGTAAAGATAAAGAGGTACATGCACTTATGATAGTGGTGGATAAAGAGAAGGATGATGGTTGTGAACTTTGGTACTGTTGGAATAATTAAAATTGCTGAAATTGACGCTGCAGCTCTGCATCCTGAAAGACTAAATGTAGTTGACTTTCACTATCAGATGAGGTAAAGTTGTCCTGAGCGGCCATGTAAGCACCCTTGCCTTCTTCTTTTTCAATTCAGAATAATTATATTTGAGATATCCTGATTGGTGACAGTAGTTACAAGTCTTCACTGAGTCATCGTCATTAGTATGTCTGCCTTGAAATGGACCTCCACGGCCACCTCATTGACCACCTCGGCCCACAGAACGACCAGTGTGATAACCTCCTCTCCTTTCAAAGTTGTTTTTATCTCTTCCAGGACCACCAGTATGATCCTCTCGTCCATAAGACTGTCAACTCTGAGTGACAAACGCAGAGCAATCCGCAGTGAATGTAAGTGGCTGTACAGGAACAACGTTCTTCAAAAAGTGATAAGTCTCAACCAGAGAACCAATGGCGGAACTCCCCATGATTTGTGGTCGAGCAGAGGAGTAATTAGTAAATGGAATCTAGGGTACCCAAATAGTTGAGTACCATAAGTTTGTTCCATTGGTTGTATATCTGTTTTACATCCCCAATAATAGGAAAAAACTGACGAAGTTTCTCAGCTAGACGATTGAACTCGTCATAATGATCATCCATGGGTTTTACCATCATGTTTCTTACGAAACAGCTCTTGAATAACTTCGTATGCTCGATTAATATTACTGCTACCCCCATAAAGATCTTGTAAGAAACACCAAAATTCCTTCACTGTCATACAATAAAGGACTAAATCCTGAATTTTAGGCTCCATAGTATTAAAAATCTGATGTAAGAGGACACTATCATCTAATGTTCAAGACAACGGTGTCGGAGTAAGAGGGTCCGTCAACAAATAACCAGTTTTGCCTCGGTCGGCCACATAGATTTCAATAACACGCTTCCACTACAAATAGTTAATTCCATCAAGTTTCCAATCATTGATTCTACCATAAAATATCTCTGAAACTTTCGCCTGGACCGTTAACTTAGAATTCTTGAGTTCCTCAGATCCGGTCATCATGAAACAGACGAGTAGAGATCAAGACAATACCCTCTACAAGTTGAACAAGTCCAAGAACCCGAAGGTTAACAATGCAAGAACCTGAAGGTTATCATACAAGAACCCGAAGGTTAAAATGCAAGAGTCCGAAGATTAACATGATACCCGAAAGTTAAAATTTAAGAACCTAATTTTTTTTAGAGAACAATTCGTAGATCTAAGTCAGATCTGAAAACAAAGGGACATGACAGCGGCGATCATCAACGACGGCGGGAGTTATCGAGGAAGATCGGATCGGTGAAGTGGATCTGGATCTAGAGTTTCCTCCGTGGACCACCGATTCAACGATCCGAGTCGGACGTGAAGGAGGTTTGGACATTGATGTTTCGATTGTGGAAACAAGAACTGAAGTGAATATCTTAGCAAAGTAACATAAACACTCTTCTCAAGATCAAATCCAAGTTTGAACTCGAGGAAACACCGAGCAAGGTAAGATATCCAAGTTGTCAAAGAAGCAAGTGACAACGACCAAAGCAAGTGACTGCGGTGGCGGACGAAGCAAACAGCGACGGATTTGATCTTTGGCAGCTAGGATTTCGAGAGAGAGGAGAGGAGGCGAAGAGAGAAGAGGCGGCTAGGGTTTCAAGAGAGAAGAGGAGGCAGCTAGGGTTTCGAGAATTAGTGTTAGGGTTAGAACAAGTGGCGGCGGGAATTAGGGGTAGGGGTTTGGGTTTACAGCTAGGGTTTCGAGAATTAGTGTTAGGGTTAGAACAAGTGGCGGCGGGAATTAGGGTTAGGGTTTTGGGTTTAGGAGGCTCTGATACCATGTTAAAGTTTGAAGAGAAAAGAGATTATTGGAAAGTTATCCCCTCACTCTATACTTAATTTATAGAGATAGATTAATTACAAGTTAGTCTCACAAGCAATGTGGGACTAAACTAATACTATCTTTTTCTAACAGTACCCAAGCAGGTAGCTAGCTGAAAGTGTGGAGTTAAATGTTATGCAGGACTAACTGCTACACCGCGTAGGTGGGGTGAGAGCCACCTTAGAACCCGTAGGAGTCACTACTAGAGTCCACGTCGACGTCGCCTGGTGGTGACATTGGGACAGACCAATTGTCAAGTCACGATGAGAACATTTAAGGTGGGATGATTGTGATACCCCCAAACTGTCTCATATCAACTAATTAGTGAGCATTTATAGTGATTTTTATATGGACACAAGTGTAGTTTCAGCTAGTCAATTTTAGCAACGGTTTCAACTACATAACGCGCTACAATCAGTGGGTCCCACGGCTTACATCGCGCCAACAGGCTTTCCCGGGACGTGTTGAAAACCTTTTTCTAACTTTTTCCTTCTCTGTTCTAATCAAGCCGAAGGATTCAGTTTATTCAAATCCTTAAGAGGACACATGCAAATGACAAGTGGAGTTGACATGCGTCTAGATATAACGTACAGTGTACTGCATGGTGCAGTTATAATGTCTCTAGATACAATGTATCACATGGTGTTGAATATGTACTCTCCACCATAAATAAGAGTCAAAATCAGATTTTCTCATTCGCTACCTCTATTTCAATAGGTCAATCACAATTCCTTGTCTACAAATGTCAAAACTTAAAAACAAGATCTTTCATGTATGTTCCCTCAATATAAAAACCAGAGGCTGCCACATATAAGGTCAACCTAACCACCCAAAAAAAATTTATCTTACTTTCATCCAAAAGAAGTAACACCTAATAGAGCAAATTTAGTCCACAGCATGTGTTCATCTCGAATTTTTATCACCTCCAAAGTAACCTCCAAAGTAAAGAAAGTTCATTGCAGCAATTTCTACAAACAGTTGGAGGATATCTCTTCTTTTGGAAAGCACCTAGAAGCTGTCTTACGAAATGGGGTTGAATCTTGAACTGGTTCTGACCGAAGACCAATTAGCTCAACTCCACAAGTAGGAAGCAGATGCAATCAGGGCATGGCACCTGACAATTTGGTACCGAAGCAGGTGATCGATGAGACTGATCGCTCTGAGTTTAGAAGTGGGTAGATAGAATGTCGAAAGGCACCATACAGAAGGGGGAAGCATACCTAAAGAGTGGAAGAATGGGTTGATAGACTGCCGCAGCTGATCTGAGATTCTTTAAACTCATCACAAATAAACTGTGTATCTATTTCTTGATTCAGTTATATGTTGAACAACATCAGATTAGTGTGTATATAGTGAACAATTGCAATATACTAGCTCTTCATAGCAAACAACAACAAGGTCATCTTGCTAACAATTAGTAAACAGCAAAGCAGACGATGATGCAGTGATTGCATTAGCATAAAAGAAATGTGTGCTATAGAATTAACATTAACAAGAATAGATTATATGCACCTTCAAATCTCGTGAACTTGCCCAGACTCTCAAAAGAAGTTCGAAAACAGAATTCAAAAATGACCTGTGTGAACATAAGTATCATCGTCAATATGAAAGAAGCTTCTCAGAAACTGACATCATAATGCAAAAAGTAATAATGAATCATGCAACTCACATTACATCACTATCAAGGAATTGAGCAGAAGGAAATTCACCAAGATATTGCCAAACAGCCTGACACCAACATTTGAACGCTGGATGAAAATTATATCAAACACAAAAGAAAATTAGATCAAAAGAAAAAACGATATACCAAGGTAAAGAATTTCCTACAACCTTATGGTCTCAACCAAAATCAAGATAATATTAAAAAGTTTCAGTAGAGTTGGTCAAGATACAGATTCACATTCAGAAGATGATTGCAAAGCCGATCATACCATTTGAAAAAATTGGTCGTTGGATATCCTGTACGTTTCCAATAATGGGCAGGACTCGTAAAAGGATGTCTTTCAAATGTGGAGCAAACTGCAAGGCTTCAATTGACAAAATAAAATGGTAATTCCAAGTTTGTCCATCAAACTAGCACAGTGGGAAAAATACAAATATAGAAAGTAATGCTTAACCTTCAACAGAAGCAAATTCCGCAAGTATGTGAATCATGGCAGGTAGAGATGGATTAGGTCCAGATAGGTGAAGAAAAATTTCTTCCATCATCTATAATCATATGGCCAAAAAGATAAGGTTTGTGAGAATTTCACACAAAGACATATCCCAAACTTGACTAACATAAGGCAGAACCTAACAAACTATGAAATTTTTTTTTTTTGGTGCAAGAAATATTTGCAAAACAAGAGTGAAGCTCGAGAATATTTCCAAAGCCAGGAAACAGCAACAAGAATTAAGGATGAATAAATAACAAATAAAAATCCACCTTCTGCAGTAGAAACACCATCCAAATGTGCATTGTTTAACCGATACCAAGAGGTAGGTCCTAACAGTCAACTCAATTGGCAAGAGATTCATAGTCTACTAATTTAACTCCAATGGTGACTCCCTGAACACACTCCTTGGCCACCTTAAACACTTTACTGTAAATTCCAATACTGACTTGGTGGACACTCATTACAGGATCATGCAGGAAATAGAGCCAAACATGATTATGGATAATAGGCTTCTTCACAGTTGGAAAAAAAAAATGGAGTACCCATTCAGCTGAGCCAATATGCAAAGGCAGGCCAGACCAAAAGAACAGATAAATAGGCACATATTGTTTATTTTTAGCAGAATAATCAACTATCTTTATTTTCAACTACACTTATCAGCTTATTTAAATGTATTCGTAATAATTTCTTCCATTATGCTGTTCAATAAGATTTGCAAGAATTCACATCCTTCACTTTCCTTATAATGGGACCAAGCTGTTTCATCTCTTGAAAAATTCAATACCAAAATAACGCCAGACGAAGACTTAGAAACAGCTTGACGAAGAGAGCAAAAGAATCTGCCTCATGGTGCACCAAAAACATAACTAGTTTACATATGGTTTATTATGGATAGATATTTGGGCTCTCTCCCTCCTCACAGTTTGCTGGCTTTTACAAGTGAGTTCTCCTAGTGTAACAAGTTCAGTATGTAGAAGTAATATAAGAAAGCAAAGGAATCTACACCATGGTGCACCAAAACATGGAAAATCGTGCAATAAAATGCTAATAAATGCATTAAAACTTCAGAATCAACAATCAATATCTAAACAGAATCAATCTCGAAACCTGAAGTTCCCATAGCAAATGCTCAAAAGAGAGAAAATATTCAGTGGTCCCCATATGTTGCATTAATTTGTACCTAAGAGTTGCCCACCCCTGGATGTGTAATACAGGGACGTAGGGGCAGATTCAGGATGTTTCTCTAGCTTGTGCACTGAATGAAAATATAATGTGCTTTAACAAGTTTTTCTATTTCTTTTCCTTCATCAATTTTAATAGTCAGATGGCAGGTACTCTATCAAGGTAACTGAGTTGTTTTCATCTTCTAAATTTTGAATGGCAAGGAGTTTATTGAAGTGAAATGGGCACCACAAGTTTAGTTGTTTACGGATAAAAGCTTTTTGGGTGGACACTAAACAAAACTGGGCACACAATAGATTATGTATAATCTTTAAACCAACTTAACCCACAAGGAATCCTTCTCAACTTAGTTTATGATAGGCACGTGCGTAACCTCATGTATATGTGGCTTTGCACTGCCTAGCCTAACCTCATGTATATGTGGCTTTGCACCTGACAATGGGCTTAAATATTAGTGCACTAATTCAATGATTAGTCTTCTTTTAGTGCACAATTAATGTAGTGATCACCAAAGCTCACCAGGTCAGGGACATGGGCTCCTATTGAAACTAGTAGAGTAGCCGCCGCCTTTTGCCAATCAGCATTAAACTCCTACATCACAATTGCACACATCAATCACACAACTCCCACTAAAATAAACAAATAGGGGAAAACAAAAATAAGATTTTAAAAAATTTGCATGCCTTCGAGGTGATCATCTCTGCAGTAGCGATCTTGGCTAGCTTGGTCATGTAAGCGGGATCCACATCATCATGGTCGATCGCTCGAACAGCAGATGCCATAACAAGAAAAACTCCGGCCATATTCCCAAATCTCTGCAAACCAATTCGACCAGAATAACAAACTCAAAACCAATTCTGTGGTTTAAAATAGGTCATTACAAACTCCAAAAAACCTCTCACCTAATAAGTTCCACAAAAAACCCTCTCATGACTCATCTGTTCATAATAGTGTATGAATTGTTTAGGTTATTACACTGTTTTAAATATCGGCCGATAATCGATATTATCGGCCGAGTTATCGGATTTGGGACCTCTCTGCTAGGATAAATTGGATTTTTAATCGATTATCGTTTTTCTAGGTTTATCGGCGATTTATCGGCGTTATCGGCACTTATCGGCCGATAAGTAAGACTTTTTTATCGGGATTATCGGCCAATTTGGACTAACATTATATTTTTTCAAGGCTATGATGCAAGTTTCGCTTTCTACAGTTAGTTAATGATTCTAAACATGATGATTTACATTTTGGTATGTTTATATTTCATTAAGCATGATTAGATTATATTTTTTAATTGTTATATTATATATACACATCATTTAGTATATCACTCCGATAAATACTACTTATCCCCGATATATCCCCGATTTCCGCTATCCGATAAGAATTTTGGCCGTCCGATAAATCCCCGATAACCGATATTTAAAACCTTGGGTTATTATAGACAATAATGAAGATATTAATTAAATTAAGAGTAGTTGCGGAATTCAAATTTCAGCCTCCCACATGCATTAATAAGTCCACCCTAAATCTATTTAAAAAACTAATGATTTTTGTAAAGCTTACTCGCACTTTATTATACCAAAGTTGCGCCCGCTTTTAACTTTGATATTCTTAAGTTCTAATTTGACAATCTGATATCCCAGAGTGCAACAAAAAAAGACTTTAATTTTGTTTAGAAATATCAACACAGAAATGTGAATGAGAAACAATTGTCTTGCTAGTTTCAGTTATTTCAAGTTTTCTGAGTTTGGGCTTGTTTGGTTGCTTTCCTTATTTTCCAACAACGGTTTTCTTTTACTTTTTTGTGTTTCCTTCACATTCATGGAATGTATTTCTTGTGTTTGTTTCACCAAAAAACATAGGGTAAAAGTAATTTCCACCACTTTCCTTAGTTTGGTCCAATTTGAAAAAAGAAGAAAGTAGTTGATGCGTGAATAGATTCCCACATTTTCTAGTGTTTGGTTCAAACTAAAAAAAGAAGAAACCATGGTTGTGATCACCACGTTGTGATAACCATGATGTGCTTATTGCTTACCACCCATATAGGACAAAATTATTGTCAACATAAATTAAGAGATGAACATACCCACTATTTGAGGGACTTATTTCAAAATATGAACATTTGAGGGAGGAATTCATAATCTTTAAAGATTTGAGGGACTAAATTTAAATTGAAGATAGTAATTTGCAAGATGTTTAAATATTTGAGGGACTAATTTTAAAATATGAACATTTAATGGATTAATTTTAAAATCTTTAAGGATTTAAGGAACCAATTTCTGATTTGAGGTAGTAATTCGCAAGATGTTTAAAAGTGGAGGGATTAATTTCAAAATGCTTGCATGGGACCCAAAGCCCAAACAAAGGCCCACCCACTTCCATTCCCCCTTCTATAGTTTCTTTCCCCCCTTGTTCTAGGGTTTTCCCCCTCTTTCTCTCTGTGATCATGGGCAGGTACGAGTGAATTTTTTAATTCAATTTTAACCTGTTTACTGACAAAATCAGACTTTTTGAGAAGGAAAGATGCTTTCCTCCAAAATTGATATGGCATTCATTTTTCCCCCACTTTCTGTTTTCTTTTTACATACCAAACATCAAAAAATAAAGAAAAATAGCAATTCCCATTTGTCAGTTTTCTTTTTGGGCTTTTATTCACATTATTAACCAACCAAACAGGCCCTGTATGGAAAATGAGGAACAAATTTAGGCTTTGGGATGTCAAAAATGTCAATTTAAGGCCTATTTCGTTGGTTAAAAATGTGAAGAAAAGACCAAAAAAACTCACAAAGGGAAAAATTGCCTTTTTACTTTATTTTTTGATGTTTGGAATGCCAAAAAAGAAAACGGAAAGTGAGGGAAAAAATGAATGCCACATCAGTTTTAGAGGAAAGCCTCTTTCCTTCTCAAAAAGCCTGATTTTGCCAAAGATTGGGTTAAAATTGAATAAAAAATTCAGCGTAGCTGCCCATGACCAAAGAGAGAAAGAGGAGAAAGATTACTCATTCTCCCACCTCCATGGCTCTCTCTCTCTCTCTCTCTGAAAAATTAGAACGCGAAAAACCCTAGAACAAGGGGGAAGAAATTAAAGGGGGAATGGAAGTGGGCCGACCTTTGTTTAGACCAACAACGGAAGTGGGTGGTAAGGTTTTAAATATCGGTTATCGGGGATTTATCGAACAACCAAAATCCTTATCGGATAACGAAAATCGGGGATATATCGGGCATAAGTAGTATTTATCGGAGTGATATACCGTATGATGTGTATATATAATATAATGCCCCAAATTGTAATCTAACCATACTCTCCGCTTTCATTCTCTCAACCTTCACTAAATAACTAGAGAAAAAACCAACTGAATGGTGAATATTATTTGTTGCTACAACTTCAGAAGTTGTGTTGAGGGCGTGGCGTTGATGGAGAGTCCAAGTCAAACTTTCGAAGTCACAGTTGATGATGACGTCGATGGAAATAGCTCGACATCGATGGAGACCTCAGCGTCGTTCAATGTCGTCAAGTCAATCAGATTAGTTGATGATGGCGTCGATGGAGAGAGCACAACATCAGTCGAAGTCGTCAAGTCGATGAAGTTAATGTTGATGAGAGAGCAGCGTCGATTGGTCGAAGTTGATAGCGTTGAGGTCAACGGAGTCCGAAGAGGAGCGGAGGCGAGCGTTAAAGTCGGCGGAGGCGAGCGTCAAGGTCGACGGAGTCCAAAGAGAAACAGAGATCAGAGGATTAGGGCAGTGGGCACAGTCGCATAAATGAGGGGAGAGAATAGAGGATTAGGACTACTTAATCGAGTTTAAGTTTTATTGTAAAGAACGGTCGTGTCGGGTTTCATATTCACTCAAAAACTGCCCATTACCCAAAATCACAACCCAATAGTGTGGCCCGATAATTCCGATTTTTAGAGCTGCTAATATCGGCCGATAATCACCTTTATCGCCGCATTATCGCCGATAAACCCTAAAAAAGATAACTGATTTAAATTCTAACTTATCTTATTGGAAAGCTCCCAAAACCGATAACTCGGGATAATATTGGATTATAAGCCGATATTTAAAACATTGGTGGGTGGGCCTTTGTTTAGGCTTTGGGGCCCATGCAAGCATTTTGAAACTAATCCCTGAACTTTTAAACATCTTGTGAATTACTACCTCAAATCAGAAATTGGCTCCTTAAGTCTCTAGAGATTTTGAAATTAATCCATTAAATGTTCATATTTTAAAATTAGTCCTCAAATCTTCAAACTGCAAATTACTATCTTCAACTTAAATTTAGTCCCTCAAATCTTTAAAGATTTTGAATTCCTCCCTCAAATGTTTATATTTTAAAACTAGTCACTCAAATAGTGGGTATGTTCACCCTTTAATTTATGTTGGCAATAATTTTATCCTATATGGGTAGTAAGCACATCATGGTGATCACAACCATGGTTTGTTCTTTTTGTAGTTTGAACCGAACACTAGAAAATGAGGAAATCTATTCACACATCAACTACTTTCATCTTTTTTAAATTGAACCAAACTAAGGAAAGTGGTGGAAGTTACTTTTATCCCACGTCTTTTGACAAAACAAACACAAGAAACAATTTTCATGAAAGTGAAGGAAACACAAAAAAGTAAAGGAAAACCGTTTTTGGAAAATAAGGAAAGCAACCAAACAGGACCTTAAAGAAAAGGTGAAACTATGTGGCATTGAACTTAACAGTAGAGTGATTTTCTTATTATTAATAATAATAATAATAATGTGTATAAATGAAAGAAATTTCTTCTAATAAGAAAAATAAGCAAAGGTGAAAAACTATGTGGCATTGAAAATAAGGAATGCAACCAAACAAGACCTTAAAGAAAAGGTGAAACTATGTGGCATTGAACTTAACAGTAGAGTGGTTTTCTTAATAATAATGATGATGATGATGATAATGTGTATAAATGAAAGAAATTTCTTCTAATAATTTACAAAAAACAAGATAATTAAAATAAAGTAATTACCCGGCGCCCTCCCCTCGAGCCTGAAGAGCAGCAATCAAGAACCAAAAGAGGGTTTCTGCGAAAAGAAGAAACACAAAAACATCAATACCTCATCCCAAAATCGATCAAACTATAGAAAGCTAGGGTTTCAAGAGATCATCACAGGGGGGCGATTTCTCTGAGAGAGGCGAGCGAAGCTTCTCGAACGAGGGGGGAGTCGTCGGCGAGAGAGGAGACGAGGACCTGCACGGCCTCTGGCGAGGGGCAAAATGGGCGGAAAAACAACTGAGAGGAAGAAGGCAGGGGCATTTTGGGAACGAAATTTTTAGGAGGGTTGGGTTTACCTGGAGCGGGGAGAGAGGCCGAGTAGGAGGCCATGGGAAGAGAGAACACAGAAGATCCAGCGAGGAGGAGGGGAAAAGAATCGACGAAATTAGCGACGAAGAGGAAGTTGCGTACGCTAAATAGAAGTAGCAAACTAATTAGGCTTTTGCCTATTAAGTCCCTTAGAGATTTTATGCTCTTGTATTAGTCCCTCGATGAGATTGATACTAGCCCCTCGCTCAGCACTATTTCACCCACATTTCGATCATCCCCATTCAAAAGTCACGAATTTTCCCGTAGTTCTCTTATGAAAAATAGTTCATGGAGAAGGAGATTGTTGTTTTGGAATGGTAATAATTTTAGTTTTAAAAAATAAATGTTTTTATTTGGTGTAAGCTTGAAGAGGACGGTGACCGGAGTCGAAGGTTAAATTTAATAAAATACTCCGTCAAATCCATATGACATTTTATTACGAGAGTGGTTTTGAGTAGCTTATCTGAATTGGGAGGTTGAGGTATCAGCTATTCGGATTTTTTTTCAATAAGTAGATTTTTTTTATGACACGTGTTGGGAGTTATACATCCCTCATCTCTGACGCTCTACCAACTTCTATCAAAATGCCTCCAATTTGGCAGAAAATAGTTCTAGGATAATATGTCATCATAACAGCTGACATATCGCATATTTTTCTCATCACAAACAAAGTAGATTTTCAAAAGCTGATGGTAGATCATACAAACTCTCCTAGTGCTTTCCTCTCAAAAAACTGCAACCAAACGGCTCATGAGTAGCGATTTCCAATGCTTTTGGGGACTGATCTGAACATACGAATGAATCAAGGGACCAATATGTAAATAATCCCATAAATTAATAAAGGGTTTTCCATATGCATGCCTCTAACATTGTAGGTATTTTTAAATTTGTCCTCCACATCCTCATAATTTGACTTTACCCTAGAAAATGTTTTCTCCTCTCAAAATTAGTCCCATGTTAAACGCTTTCCAAAATTTAACGTGCATGTACTTAAATTCATCACTCTACCCCCCTTAATTGGTATAGAGTAAATATCCTTCATCATCCGTTCTTTATCCCTTCTCCGATCTACTCTTTTGCTGAAACATTCTTTTTCTTTTCATTCAAAATTAAACTTGTTCTATCCGAAGACCCTCCAAAATTGAAACCCCAGATCCTTAAATCTATAAACTCATCCGTCATTTACAAACCTAGGCTCGAGGAGTCGGTCCGAATGTTCGGTTGGGGCGTGAGGGGTGTCGAGCAGGGGCATCTACGATGTGGGTGATACTCGAGAAAAAATGAGAAAGGTAAAAAAAAATAGAAGAGGATTCTTAATTAATTATTTTAAATTTAAATTGATTTTTTTTCAAGGGTGGAATGGACATATTAAGAAAACCTTTCATGTTTTTTTAAACAGAAAATTCCAACGGGGAGGCTCTAAAATTAAGGTAAGGGGTAAGTTGAGAGATGATTGCAATTTAAAGGTAGCGATAACTCGAGGGGTATTTGTCGAAAGAGCCCGTTGATAAAATGTTCGCAGGCGGTGACGGCTAAAGCATTGTTCATAAGGTAAGTTGCGGAGGTGGTTTCTGCAAAAGTACCGAAGGATGGCACGGCTCAACTGGGCTTGGGTTTGGACCCTGATGCGTGACGCTTAGCAATTGACGCGAGCTGGATCCGGGTCGCGTCAAGCGGAGCGAGCTCATCGAGCCAGCTAGAGAAGGCCCACCTTCTGTTCCCCGCGTCAGAAAACTATCACGTGCTTGCCGATGGTGCTAAGCGCTCGTAGCTCTTTTTGCCATCCTCTTGTCCTCTTCAAACTGTATCAAATCCTTAGAAATGGATCGAAGCTCAAAAAGGTTTATACTTTAGATCCCAATTATTAGCTCATAGCCACTTTCCTGGTGGCCTGATGTAGGACGCTTAATCTGAGTTGGAGTCTATTTAGATTAGGAAATAAGGATGGGACCTTAACAGGCTCCTGGTCTTCCACACGCACCCCCAAGCGGGCGGTTACAGGAATCGACTTGTTGGGAGAACATATACAACCCCCAGTCTGAAGAGTCGCTCAGGATTTATTCACCGGACCAAAGCGTTCTTTAACAAGAGCTTTGCCTCGATCTTCATATAGAGAACCAAGGCGATCCGCTATCGTAACCTTGAATTTGGACAGATCAATGCTGCCGTAAGGCTTCACCGAAGGTACGGGAGTAGACGGAGCAGAGGCCGACGGAAGCGGGAGACACCGACAGGGGCCTTGGTCCTGCGCGAGATATTCTGTACTGTCTCGGCCAGGTGCGAGACAGTCGTGCTGTTTCTGAGACAGTTCAGATTGTCTCGACCTGGAGGAGGTGTTTCGATGATTTTTCGAGTTGATTTTGGCCTTTGGAACCCAGACTTGTCGCAATTTTGGTGGTTCTTTGACTACCTCTTCCTTCTGTAATTCCTGCGCTTTCTGCATAAGAATTCGTGCGCAAGCAAGCAATGCGCGACGCTTCTGGATGCGCTCCTCGAGAGTTGAGTGAGTTCTTTTGACCCGGACCCACTTGTTGGTTGATGGTTTGGAGGAGGAATAAAATACTTGCTATTGTGGAGGCTTAGTCGCTTGATGCCTCCTAAACTCCAGATCCGCATGATAACGGATCCCGTCAACCGGTTCCAAGGCTTTGGCGAGTTGACTCGCAAGGCGTTGGCGCTGCCTCTGACGAGCCCTCTTCATCAGAATTAGTGCGCCCTCAACGCATAACTCTTTGACTGAAGAGGAGTTGTTGCGTGTAGCAGATCTGACTTCATTAGATGCCGGAGGGACGTTGAGAGAGGAATCTTCAACAACTGGACATGAGTCATCACCCCAGATCTGAAGACCAGCGAACCTTCTTCAAAGAAGAGATCTTCCTACACTTGCGAGGGGAGGAGGATCTAGAGGAGGAGGATGAGACATACTCCTCAAACTTCTGCTGCTCGAATTCGTACTCGATCACTGCATCAACCGGGAACTTGATCCTTGGTTCCGACACGACAGCCTCGGCAGAGAGGTTGTTGGCTCCCACTGTGGTCGCCAGCGTGTTTGCGTCGGAAATCGATTTCATTTGGGAATCCATTACAATTCGTTTATCGAATTACAAGATTCAAAAGAGTGAGCCTTTTTATAAGACTTCTCTACACAAAAGAAATAAACAAAAATCCCCTAGAAACACACGCACGATCGTTTATCGATCGCTGCTTGCGTGGGATCTTTGCCTTTGTCGGGGACTCTTTGATCCGTGGACCGCCGAGTATCAGATCCAATAGATCTCGTTTCGTAGAGGAAACAAGAATTGAAGTAAATATCTCAATGATGTAAGATAGGTACTCTTCTCAAGATCACAACGACAGTATGATCTTAAGGAAACTGATGCAGGGGTTGTAGATCTATCGAACTCCTCCTCTTTATGCTGAAGAACTCACCAAGAACTCGCCTTTAGATCTAAAATTCGTGGCTCTCCTCTCACAGGGTCAGCAACTCGCCTCCAAGCTCCAAAATTCCCGATTCCCCCTGTATAGGGGCCCTAGGGGTGTATTTATATGTTTCGGATGTCGTGTTTTTGGATATGAATCTGTGATTTGATCATATCCTTAGTTAATAACAGTTTTTCCACGTTCAAGGATAACCCCAAGACAGTTAGGGAGGCTCCGGAACCGTCAAAACCAATCAAAAACCGTCAAAAACGCGTCTCGATAGGCTGATCTGTGCGAAACAGTCCTGTCTATTTCGTACATGTGCGAAACACTTTGGTGTGTTTCGTACATGTGCGAAACACTTTTGAGTGTTTCGCATGTGTGAAATAATTTGTACTGACATCGATATTTTGGATTTAATTCTTTCGCCTGACCTCGGAATTAGGTGATTCAAGTTGTGTTGGAAATTTGGCAAAGAGACCTATGACTTTTGTCTTTTGAGCTTTTTCTGATTCGGATTGCATCATGGTCGAAGTTTCAATTATTCATACTCATGCATCCATTTTCTTCTCGAACCATGCATTCTAAATCTCGTTGTTGCTTCATCGCTTCATCGCTTCGCGCATTCCTTTACTTCCCCCTTGGCATCGAATAATCCTCTTTAACTCAGACATTGACGTTCATCATCCTCTCTTCGTCTCGAGCTGCGTGCGGGAACCTATAGGTAATTTTTGACGCCTAAAATGGTCATGTAAGATCTTTAATATTGCTATTTGTTGGGAAGTAATCGAGCTCGGCTAAGAGTTAATGAGTTTTAAACAGAGGCTAAAAACTAATTTTAACCCAAAAATATAACATTAAGTATTAGCATCAACTCTTATTTTAAACTCATTACTCTTTGTTATCTTGTTCAATGTAAAACTATGCTAAGACATGCAGTGGTTAATTTTAATGCGGTACAGGGGTATAGTTGCACCTCTAAATTTTCATAAATTGCATATAAGCCCTTGTAAAATTTATAGTCTGCCCTCCCCATAAATTTTAAAAATTGCACCCACGACCTATCTAAGAACAATAAACAAGTTGGTAGCAAATTAAATTAGCCCATTAGAAAGTAAAAGTCCGGCTAACTTTTCAACAATCAAAGTCAAATAAGCTCAATGGAGCTTATAAAGAGTATCGAGTGTATTATAATATTATTTTTATTTTTAAGTAAATAAATATTTATTGTTTGCCTCTGCCTGTCAAAACAGCATCGATTTTTTAGATAATAGTGGTAATCCATTATGGTCCCTCTAGCTGTAATGGATGATAAGAGTGGAGTAATTGAGTCATCTATGGGAACTTGAATTCTATCCATTTTCCTACTCTTGTCTATCTACTACTCTTCTAGACGCACTCGCGTGAGCCAATCCAATCACCTTTTGACTACCCCACACTACCTTCTTGATTTCCAGTTCAACCCCAACCAAGACTCAAATCCCTCTTTTTCTCTCTTTCTTCCAGTGTGAAAATCATTGTCTCAACCTTATACTTTCACTACCTATAGAATTCACTTTTAAATTATGGCTATTTTTAATTTATTGGAGAAAATAAAATCTAAAGAATATAATTAAGATAAGGCTAAATTACACTTAAGATGTACTATAGTTTTGTCAACCTTACACTTAAACTCCTCATATTTTAAGGCTAAATTA